GCAGACCAGCTTTACCAGTGGGGATTGCCGTGCTTTCCAAGCGCAAGCCCTTAGGAAGGTAGAGGTGGGCAGGTAGGGAGGAGGAAAGATTTATGAAGGAAGAGGAGCTTCAAGAAGGCAGCCTTTGTCTTCCAACCAGAGCTGCTGAGGCTCCAGACCATCCTCTCCCGTGCCCCACGGTGGCTATTTGGGTCCTTACCACTTCCTGTCCCCCTCCTGGCATCTCACATGTATTCAGGCAGCTTTGCATCCTGGGCTTCGGTTATTCCTGCTGTTGAGATCACTCACACTCCGTGGTGCCAGCAGCCACCGTTTGACTTGCTCATATGCTAGTGGGTTAGAAATGGGGAGCATCTGCCGAGGGATCCGTCCTGTGGCCTGGCCTGGGGGTGGACAGCTGCGGTCCCCCAGGGCTTTGTGGGTGTCTCATCTAAGAAGACTGGAAGTTGGTCGGAGGCCTCGTGGGGGTACTGCAGGGACAGTCCCAAGGTGACAGCGGCTGCACCCCAAGCACGGCCTGAACTGGAGAGGCACGTGCGCCTCTGACATGGCTTTGGATAACCATGTCAATGGCGCATAAGAATGGTGCAGCATCTTCACACCTGCTGTGTTCTGTTTGTTCCAGGCCTGTCGCCAGAGCTCGTGCAGATTTGCTGGGGTCCTCCCTCTCAATGGCAGGTGTCAAAAGAACCTGTGGACATGGTCATAGCCACCCCAGACGTTCACTCCCTACCAATCCCCTGGTAGTCTCCCCAGACTTCCCCCATGTGAATGTACTGAAGAATTGACACCCACCCTCTGGTTTTAAAATGTTTAGAATTTGTAATAATTTTATAGATACGTATTTTCTAGAGAATGATGTAACATCCATAACAATCTAAAACAGATTTTCTAGGAAGTTACCGTGAAATCTGCAAAAGCAATAAAACATTTCATCCCAGGTGCTGAGCTGTGAGGAGAGTATCAGGGTTTAGGCTCTGCTGCCTTTCCCCGAAGAACTCACTTGGGAAGCAGTCAGGTACGTGGCATCCTGGGGCCTGGCTGACCTCAAGCTTATCTGGTACTGTTAGTTTCAGCATCATTTCTTCTTTAGCGAGGCTGTTGGAAGATAAAAGGGGAAGGAGGAATTTCTGGGCCTTGGTGGCTGTGAGGACCTGCAAGTGATGCTGAAAGAGATCTTCCAGCTGGCCTGGGGCCCTGGTGGAGACTGAATATGGAACGAGAGGCAGGTTTTGTGGGTAGACAATGGCGTCCATGAGAACTACTGAGTAGATAGGAAGAAAGATGGGTCTGAAGCTTAGGAGAGAAGTGGGGATGGAGGCAT